GGGAGGATCTTGCAATTCAACAAGAGCAAGAAGCTTCTCATGAGGCAGTAGAGGAAGTTGATGAAATAATTAGAATTCAAATGAGGAGGTTGAGGAACTTGGTGATTATGCTAGGAGAGAGCAACTCAAAGATTTGCACCTAGTCTTGAGAAACTTCTTAAGATGGATTATTTTGCGAGGTCTCTTTGTCAAACCAAGTCCACATAATCATCGGTCCCTCTTGGTGGATGCAATTGTGATCAACCCATGATGTCTAATTTGGTTTGGGGCAAAGAGCAGAATGAAGATTGAAAAAAGAGGTATTAAAGGTGGAACCTCAATCTCAATCAAGTCCATGAGCCTTTATAATGTCATACCTAATGAGCATATGACTTGAGACTTCATGTCACATCGACAACCTGAACTTCAAAAAGGTCTTGGGATCGACCGAGACTTAGGAGCAACCTTCTAGCTTATGACGATAAAGAAGCGAGAGGCAATCCAACTCCGGGTAGATTTCTTTTGTGCTTTATAGGTTAGTAGTGAATAACTATCTCATGAATGTGTGCCTACTTTATTATTGTGTGCTCTAACCCCAAATCGTGAGCTTAATTGAACATTCATTCTACTTCTTTCACCTTCTCCATCAATTCATCAATGCGGTAGTCTTGTATCTGTGCACTTTCCCCTTCTCTTATGCACATTGTTCCCAATGTGCATTTTTAAGTATGAGGGTGTGTAGTGGATTGCATGTATGGCTTTCTTTTTTGGTGATTGTGAGATGATGATTTGACATAGTTATGATTGCTTGGAGCCTTGTATTTAGCTCAAAGTTTTTCAAACTTGAGGGCTCCAAGCAACCCATTTTCTCAGATGCATGAATAGTATGATTTGGATGCATGACAACCTATGATTATGATCAATAACGTAGTAGGCTTGTTTCTAGTGTCACTTCTCATTTGATGGAAAAATTGCATGAGAGCTAGTCTTGGTCAATCACCACCCTCCGACTATTTTGGACATAGCGATCGAGAAATTTGAATGAGAGACTGAGCATCTGGGTAGTCATGTGAGATTTGTGCTTGTTCATTCCTTTCATGTGTAATAGTCCCCTAGTTGCACGATGACTTAGCTTAACCTTTGCATGAGACTGTATTGTCACTCCACTAGTGTGGAAGATGTAGGCAATGAGTATAGCCCAAGATGTAAATGACCACTCATATCATATTATCCACTAGTCAAACCCCGTTATGCCTTGCCTACTATTTGCTTACAACCTGTTTCAAACCAACCTATTCTTGTAAGCCAAAAATTCTTGAACCCTTTTCGAGGTTCCACATGGTTGATTTCATTCATGATATTCTACTTCGCAAAACAAAATATGAGTTAAGGAGGGAATTTTTCTTAAATAAGGTGATTTTTTCACAATTATCAAAAGGTGATTTTTTTATTGGTCTCGTATAAAGAAGAAAAAGAAAAAAAAAACAAAGTAAGAAAAAGATAAAGAAACAAATAAAAAGAGAGCTAGCCACCATTTTCTTGAACCTTAAAAGGAGTCATTGTTCAAAACTAAGTGGCTAAGTTTACTCATAGTGTTCAATGTTTTCTCTTTGTCATCATGCGGCAATTGTTACTAAAGTAGAAAAAGCAAGCAGTTGTGGATTTGTGTTGGTATGGCTTAATACATTGATGAACCTTGATCTTATCAGCACCATATATGTCTTTCTTATGTCCACAACCATAGCCTCGTCTAAACCCAATTGAAAGTGCTCGGGACAAGTTAATGGTGATTTATGTATGGAGACTGGGTCAAACTGCAAAATGTTTAGTGGCTAACTTCATGGTAGAGAGATTGTAGGGTTGAAAGTTTTGACATACACATCTTTTGCATTGTCTATGGTCTCGACTAGGGCTCGAAGTTTGGTATCGCTATTTGCGATATACCGAATATCGTACCGAATTTGTCTATATTTGCTATTACCGAATACACGTATTATTTCTTGGGATTGGGATTGAGATTCAATTTTAATTGTTATTCGGTATTAGGGATTACGAGATTGGGATCAGTATATACCGAAATACCGAAATATAAGCTAGTGTGTATTTTATCCTCTCAACTAGACTCTCTCATTCACTACTACACTACCTTCAACCACCAATATATTGTTATTTTCATAACACCAAAAAGCTAACACTAGTATTAGTCTTCTCTCAGCCTCCAATTCGTCAAATTAAAGATTACCAATGACAAAAACTTGAGATGCCACCTCTACTCCATTCTCATCAATATCCTAGCTCTAGACAAACTCAAAACTCTTTGTTTAGTCTATTTGACCTACATTAAACAATCAAATCTAATTTATATATTTTATTATTAATTGTAAAGGTAATTAATTTCGTATCCGATAATACCGATTGGGATACCGAAGTACTGATTGAGATACCGAAATATTTAGGGATTGGGATTGGGATACCAAAATTATTTAGGGATTGGGATTGGAATTGATTCTAGGGTGTAATTCGACATTCGGGATTTCGGTATTTGGTATTGGGATACCGATACCGTACCGATTTTCACCCCTAGTCTCGACCCCATTGATCGAGTAATGAGTGCTCTTTCTCTATTTTCTAAGTTTCTGTGAGGGACTAATTTGCTCGACTTCTTGTACTGTGTTTCTTGGTCTCTCTGTTTGAATAATTGGGGGGAGGGGGTGCTGAGCGACTATTTATGTTCAAAAAATTTCTTATAAATTTGAGAAGGATTCTCCAATGTCACAAACATACTACATTTGAATGTCATTTGTGGTGGTTGCTGGTAGCATCCATATTGTTGGTAAAACTTGTATTCGAAATTGTTTTTATTTTATTTAACATTGGAGGAGCCAGAAAACACCACCAAAGAGTTAGAGAACATTTAATAACCACGTGCGGTAGTCGATCAATAATCAAACTACCGATGACAGGGCTTGCTTTGCCACTAGACGGGTGACCCTATTACAGCTTCGTGGAGCAAAAGAAATAGAACAAAAAACAAAGTTTGAAGCTAGCCGTCGAACATCTTCAAGAATCGCCCTGCCTAGAGCATGAGTTGCCTCCACCTCCAGCAGCCGCCGAACCACCAATTGTGAATCCTCAAAAAATTGACAACAAGGAAATTGGGGGTTAAGCACCAGCTCACAGAGTCACGAATAGCCAAAAGTTTTATAATGAAAGGATCCTGAATTCCAGCATAGTACTTGCCCTAAGCAAAGTGAACCATACATGTAGGGGAAAAACCGACAATTCCAATCCCAACACCATTGCCATTTTTGACAACCCCATCAAACCTCGAGGAATTTTACAATGCTATATAATATTGGTGTTATAGGTTTTTGTCTTTATGGTACAACTTGAAATTGTACATTTAACGTTATGGTACAACTTCAAGTTGTACCTATACTTTTTTGTACAAATTCTTTTATGGTACAACTTGAACTTGTACCTTTATGTGATGGTACAACTTCAAGTTGTAAAATTGTACCATAACATAATGATACAAATTCCTTTATGGTACAACCTAAACTATACATTTAATGTTATTGTACAACTTCAAGTTGTACATTAAACCACCAATACTATATAGCATAGTAGTAGTGCTCATCAAACCTCACTAAGAAGGCCTCTGGAGGATTGTTCACATCAGTTCCCAAGGTGGAGGTGAGAACAACGGAAAGGCCAGGACTACTCTACTGCCCATCAGTTGAGCGTGATGAATGGGGCGAATTTGATGACACACGTTTTATGCATATAGACAGTTCATATCGCGAGCTAATATATCATATTATTTTGTCCACAAATTTTAATTGTTCAAATAACGTTATTTAATAACAATGAGCACCGAAGCAATCTATGATACATAATTATTTTTAAATTATAAATGACACATTTTTACTCACGCACTTAAAGTCTTAAACAACATACGTGGTATAATTTAACAAACATATGAATTATCAATTTGTAAGCTAAATATTGATTCAATCGCAAGTCACTACTGAAACAGACTCGCTAGTCATACTGTTGACCATTTCATAAGCTCAAAATACTAGCTCAGGAATTGAACTTAACAAAGTCACCAAATTAAATTGACCAACGAGTATTGTGAGTTAAACAAATCCTAACTCAAGCTCGCTCGATAGTACTCGAGAATTTCAAACAAAATTTTCTTAATTCAAACACCAAACCACTCGCAGATAACATGCATGGTTCATTTGCATCCCTTACTCGTACGAACTATACAAAAACTCAGCAATCCGAAAAATAAAGGACCCGTCTTACTAGGGGTGGGCAATCGGTTCGGTAAACCGAAACCGAACTGAATTAACCGAAACCGAATTAATGTTATTTGGTTCGGAATTCGGAAGGAAAATATGGATAGTTCGGAAACCATGGTTCTTTCAACCGAACCGAATTTCCAAATTTTCGACCGAAAAACCGAAATACTATAATTGCAAGCTCCAAATGGTAGATTTTTATGTTTGTAGTTGTTTTTAGACTTAAATATTTGAAATGTTTTATGACTTATGTGTTGAAAAGTTTGATTTTATCATTGATAATGCATATAATTGCATATTTATTGTTTATATTAGGGGTAAAAAATAATTTAAAAGTGAGAAGATACAAATAGCTTAACAAATTCGATTTTTTAGTGAAAATTGGACCAAACCAAATTATAATTCGATTTAAACTGATCGAACTGAATTATATTTCGATTAGAATTTGATTTGAGATTTGGGAAAATTCGAAGACCTGATATTCATAATTTCAGTTCGGTTGAAACCAAACCGACCGAATACCACCCCTCGTCTTACCGTAAAAGGGCGCGCACTAAGAAGTAAGAACTACTAGTCTAGTACTACATCCAGAGTTCAAAAGTACCTTCCCCGCCTCCCGCCCGTCCATTCCGCTCTCCCATGAATAATTAATATTTAGAAAAGCCCCGCCCAGCTTCGAATTCGTCGATCTCAGCCGTCCACGTGAGCGCATCTGGGCTCACATCAATCATCTGAAAAGACTCCCCATATTGAAGCGGTGAGGTGATCTCGCTCCCGTTGCTTTTGTGACACAACGAACAGTTTTTCCAGGTTCCCACAGTAGTCGTTCGCAGTGTTAATGGCGGGTGCGAGTGGTAGTGTTAGGTCAATGAATCCAGGGTTCCTTCATCTTCAGAAGCTCGCCCTCGAGCTCAAATGTCCTCTCTGGTTAGCCCCTATACCCCCTTCCTTCCTCTCTTTATCGCCTCTAAAGCTTGCTCCTTTCGGTGGATTTACTTTTTTTTTGTTTGTTTCGCATTTGGAAAACTTTGATTTTTGTTCTCTCGGAGAGAAGAAGTAAGCGGTATAATTTATTGGGTTTAGTTTAAAATTGGGTTGTTGATGGCTGATATTCTCTTCACTTGACTCCTTTGTTGTTCCCTACGTTGAATTGTGAATGTTATGGCAGAGCGGGATGTTTCTCTGCGGAAACCCTAATGTGATTGTATACTCCTCTGGGATTCTTTTGTTCTTTCGGTTGGGTTTAAGGGTGTGAATCAGTGAACGTGACTAATCTGATCGCATTTAACTCTTTCGGCAGCTTAAACTTTCTGAAGAAGCCACATTTGCTGCCTTGCGATCACATCTTCTGCGGGTAATCTTTTCTTAGCTACTGCTTCTTGTTGTTGTCTCCTTCAGCGGCGGTTGCCTTTTCATGGCTTTCTTCTGTTGACATACACAATTGCTTGACTTGGGGCTATCAATTGCATTGCAGGTCGTGCCTCCCCGAATCCAAGCAGTTAGCCGTGGGATGCCCTTCCTGTAAAGCTCCCTATGCTGATGAAGGTATGCATCGATTTTCTTTCTCTATCGGTTTCTATTTGCTTTAATTCTTTAAAATGCTGACTTGGTGCATTCTGACTTGTTAAAGTCTATTCCTTTTGGACTTCGGTCCAGAAACTGAATGAGAAAGAATTTGGCTTTGATAATATGTAAATTTTGTTCTAGAGAATGAGTTCAGCTTTCAGCTGGGGTAAGAATATGTAGCTCCTTAATTGTTTGCAGATACTAGGCATCTACCTTTCATAGAGAACCTTGTTACTATCTACAAAGGATTGGATGCTGCTCTTCGTGTCACTGCAATGCAGTCCGTTGGTTCTGGTATGTTCTCCAATCCATTGATTATTATGAAATTGCCAATGCCTTCACTTTGCTCAGGTTTTCTTCATGTTGCTGATATCATCTGCAACTTTTATTTTCCTTTATCAAGATTCCAAAACTCTGGACAGCAAAGAGGAGTTTCTTAAAGCTAGCTTCAACCACAACATTCATGCAAGAAGTTGCTCATTTTCACCAATGAGCAAGAAATTGTATCCCCTTCCATCAACTTCTGTTGGAAGTGTGGGTAGAGAGAATGGCTTGTCAGATAAGTGTAGTGTGCCTCGGGGCCTAGAAAATAACAATAAAAACACGGTCGAAGATGGTGGGCGCAAAGCTAAACCAAATGCCCAGTCTCCACCTGTAAATTCTCGGACAAGAACCCAATGGTTGGAAGATTATGGAACTGCAATTCATGTAGACCAGTTGTCACTTTGTAGTCCTTCATTTGGTGATGTCAAGAATTCTGAGAATGACAGTAATGATCAAGGTGGTGAAGATGTAAGATTCTTAGTCCTATTCACTTTGTTTCCTCGTGAGATCTTACTTTTTTTTTTCTAGATTTCATGGAAATGGTTTTGATGCTTATACTTGATGATGGGAGTTGCTGTCTTTGTATTTACTAGCTTGATTTAGAATTATCTTCAACTTTTGTTTGTATTTTACCTTTCCCTAAAGGTGAGTGATGCAAATTTTTTGTTGAGGATATTTGACAACCGTGCTGCCGTTTTCAGACTCCACAAAATCATACCATAGCATTGGCCAAGCAAAATTCTGTTGACAACCAAAGACTGGTGGGACATGACAGCTCTGCTTCTGGCTCTTCTGAGGAACATACGAGAAATTCTAAGAGACAAAGGTTGAACTACAGTTTAGAAGATACAAGCTTTCATAAGGCTGGTCCTTCTGAGCCAAGAGGTTCTCAAGTTGAAAAGCTGGAAACTTCTGATGTTCGCAATCATGCAGCATCAAATCAGCTGTCCGCAGCAAAAACTGTCTGTAGGTTTTGTCAGTCCTCTAACGTCTCAGTGGTAAGGGTCATTTTCATTTGTAGTGATTCACCATCTTTTCGTCGTACTAAATACTGTAGGGTAGTTTGATCTTCTTGCATTTTCGTATATCTATTCTGCTGCTTTCTCAACTCACGTTGTTGTTTTTTTTATCTCTCTATATGTTAGGAAACTGGCCCACTGTTGCATTTCCTAAATGGGAATCAGGTTGAAGGACATGAAGCTACCTTGTCCACTGCATTGCATGTTCACAAGATTTGTATCGATTGGTATGCTATTACTATCTGTGTTCTTTGTAATTTTATGGTGACAATTGGATGTTCGGGTTGTTCAACTGTATGATTGGTATTGCAGGGCACCTAAGGTATACTTTGTTGATGATACTATCCAGAACCTGAAGGAAGAGTTGGCTCGGGGTGCAAAACTTAAGTGCAGTAAATGTGGGAAAAAGGGAGCAGCACTAGGTTGCTATGTCGAATCTTGCAGGAAAAGTTATCATGTTCCCTGTGCAATGGAAATCTCTGGATGCAGATGGGATTTTGTAAGTCTGTGTGGCTCCATAATAGTTCAACTGCTGTAGAGATATTTAGCAAGTAGTTTGTATCTGCGTTGATATTTGGCACTAATATCTTCTGGACTTGGTTTGTAGGATAATTACCTTCTATTTTGTCCTGGCCATTCTTCTCACAAATTTCCAGACGAGAAGTCCAAGCATGTGAAACAGAAGTTGAAAGTTGATCAGAATTCGAACGATGATCCTGAGTTGGCTAAAACGTATATGCATGTTCTCTCATCTTTAGTAATTTCAAAATCCACTGAAATGAATGACTATTCTTTATTGATGTGTGTAATCTGAAGCTACTATGCACCTAAGAAAACGTTTTTACTTTGTGCATGCAGAGCCTCGGAGCAGTCAAATCCTTGGCTAGGTTCAAAGAAATGGCTTTTCTGTGGATCTGCTCTTTCTGCTGAAGAGAAGGTTAGTTTGAACTGATGATTTCTTAAGTGCCTAGTCCATAATGCATCTACTGCTGTGCTGAAGCCTAAATCTGTTAGAATTTCAAGAAGCGAATGCTTCTGTAATGTCTTTAAACTCTTAGTTCTGATTTAACCATTTGAGTACCATGATAGCGAGTTTGACTTGAAACTTGGGGATAAACAAAATGTTCAGTGAACCTTATGTCTCCTGAAGAGGTAATCTTAGTTGGCTATATGTAGTTGCACAAAAGTACACATCTGTAAGCTGTTAGTTTTTATGTCAACTTATATCTAAACGATGCCAACACAGTAGACGTTGGTTGTCATGGCAGTGTATGCTAGTGGAGTTTGGCAACAAAATTGATGTTCCAGTGACGAAATTTTGGAGACCGGATGTCACACATGTGATTGCATCCACAAATACAGAGGGGGCGTGCACTAGAACACTGAAAGTTCTCTTGGCCATTCTGAATGGAAAATGGGTTCTAACAATTGACTGTGAGTTGATCCTTCTATTCAACAATATTCTACTGCATCTTTTCTTGCTCCATCTTGCTGTCTGTAAATGTAAAGCATATATTAGATTCTGCTTTTTGAATTTTGAGTAGTGGGTATGAAATGTTGATGAAGTAGACTATTTTTTAGCTGTAGGAACATAAACTTTGTGAACATATGCCTTTTGACAATGTGCGACTCAGTTTCTCTTCAGCAAGTGTCACAATGTCACTTAAGAGTAACTATAAAGTGAAGCTGCATGTTATTATCGCTAAGTGGTTTGATAAAATCTTCACAGGGATAAAGGCATGCAGGGAGGCCATGCAACCTGTCGATGAAGAACCTTATGAAGTTAGACTTGACAATAATGGATCTTGCGATGGGCCAAAGACCGGGAGACTTAATGCCTTGAATAATGCAAGTATCTTGATGAGCTATTATTATGACTAGATATAACATGAGTTTGCTCTCTTGCTAGTTGATAGTTCTTTCCCATTCTTAACTTCTGCTTTCTCCTTGCTGGTTCTCTTATTTCAGGGTCCAAAACTCTTCCACCAGTTAAACTTCTACCTCTCTGGTGACTTTGTACCTGCCTACAGAAAAGATCTCCAGAATTTAATCGTCGCCGGGGGAGGTACAGTTTGGGGGAGCAAGGAAGAGTTCTTGGAGATGAGCAAGCAACACAAGGAAGGCGGCGGCGACGGAGCTTCACCAACAACATTAGTTGTTTACAATCTCGATCCTCGACCGGGCTGCAAGTTGGGCGAAGAAGTGTCGATTCTCTGGGAAAGGCTTGATGAAGCAGAGGATGTAGCTGCTAAAAGTGGATCCCAAGTAACTGGTCATACTTGGCTGTTGGAATCAATAGCTGCATGTAAATTGCTGCCCCTTGTTAGATGAAATATTGTTCACCCACAACTCCCCCAGATGCTTTAGATTTTGACATTGCTGCCCCCTTGTAGAAGCAACTAAGATGAACATTACAGGTCTCAGCTCTGCCTGTGGTTTAGCGCCAAGAACTGTTGCATACTCTACGGTGAACCAATCAGACGACGCCTCGTGGGAAGCTCAGTTGAAATGGTTTCTTGTGGGCTGAGATACAAGTTTGGGTACACGTCCATATGGAAAATTGTGGAGACGGAGAAAATGCTGCTGTTTTTGGCGGTTATTATACAGAGTTTCATTTTCGGCCGGCTGAAGAGTCTGTCCGAGTTCCCCATCAGTCTCTCAACTGTTAATTTGTTTCCTCTTCCTCACTCAACTTTTTGGCCTGAACCAAAGCTTTGTACTCATCGAAATCCTCCGTCTTTTCTCTTTAACTCTCCCCATTGTTTGGGGATGTCGCTATCTGCCGGCGGGGGGATGCAAATCCAAATAAAAAAAAGATGGTAGTCAATCGCTTTCCTAAGATTTGACGAAATAGAGGGGAAGCACAAAGCTGGAAATAATTGAGGCTTGAGAGGGACATATAGATGGTCTTTTATTTTACAGCTTTAGATCCCGTTAACAAATTTGGAGTATGATAATCAGATAATGTATCTTAAACATAAAATAATGCACTTCTTTATCTTAAACCCTATAATTATTAAAGTAGAGCATAAGCAGTGACGCAGCCAGACATCGAGTCCATTCGGGTCCTTAAAAATTTACTAACACTAATGCTTGTGTATCTAATGAATTTTGAGTTGATCGGATCCTTAGTGAGCTAACATCGTTGAAATTATGGGGTTCTAAACTTGAACTATCGTACTAAAACCTATGTATCTAAAGGGTTTTGTTGCTCAATTATTTGTCAAGTGGGATCCTAGGACTCCACTCCTCCTTACCTCCCTCCGCCACTGAGCATAAGTTAGGGTGTTAACACCCAATTTGTTAGTATGATGTTAAAACTAACTCCAGTTAATAGGAACATTCGTCTACATGACTTTTTATATTTAAGATTTTGACCACAATTAAAGTTAATTTTTAAAGGGAGGAGTATGTTTGTCATATTTAAAAATTTAAGGGAGAACACGCATGTGGTGCTGTCCATTTATTTCGCATCCTGTTTTTAGGCTGCAATGACTACAAGTATTATGAAGCAGACCACAAAACACATACTAGAAACACAAAAAACCCCACTATAAATAACATAAAGTTGATGATAAAGCTTATAAAACATACCGAAACCTCACCACACCACAAAATTCATAAAACATATAAAAAAACTCAAATTTGACCTCAAGTTTCTTAAGGAAGACATGATGTTATGTAACGCTAAACACAAGTCCCCTAAATCAGACCATAAACCTCATAAAGGTGACTACACATTTTTTAAAGCAGACCATAAACCTAATAAATTGGAGAGCAAGTTTGTTGAAGCACACCAGAACCTTATAAAGCTGACCACAAGTTTCTTAAAGTAATCCATAAATCTCATAAAGTTGACCAGAAGTTTCCTAACCCAGATCATAAACCTTATAAAGCAGACCACAAGTTTTCTGAAGCAGACCATAAACCTCATAAAGCTGACCACAAGTTTATTAAAGTAGACCAGAAACTTCATTACGAATACCACAAGTCTTCCAAAAGAAACTAGAAATGTGTGTAACCACACAAAAACTCTCATAAAGCATACAAGAAAGATGAGAAACCACACCATAAACCTTACGAAGCAAACCAGAAACGTTATAAAGGATGACAAGTAGATTTTTCTTTATAATGATAAAATAATTTTCTTATAATAGTAAAATAATTTTTTTTACATGTAACCTATTGGATTTTTTTTACACAGAGAGAGAAGTAGAAGTGGGGTTGGAGTGAGGGATGGTAAACAGATAGTCATTTTTAACTAATAGCCAAACCGATAAAGGTGGTTAATGTCTAACTGATAATCGCTAATTTCTTAGTGGTTCAGTTTTGGTTAACTACATTTTGCTTAAGGGTGCGCCTATGGTGCCTTGCAAGTCACCGTAACTTGCACAATTCGGTCGATCTATTTCTAACTGTGGTCGACCGAATCCCCTAAGGTTGTCACTCTAAATTTGTACAAATGACCAACAACAGAGAAGTGGTCGACCTCAAATATTATTAGGTCAACCTTAAAGACGTAAGTTGTCACTACCAGAACCAATTAGGTTGACCTTTGCTCTTCCTAGGTCGACTTATCCAACAGAATAATACCAATTTACCAACAGAAACATGTGTAATACTACCACGAACAATTGATAGGTCGACCAAACACATTGACCGACCGACCTTTTAAGCACAACATAGTCTTGCAAACAAAGCCAAAGCCGACATACTGGATAAACAAGCAAAACAAACAAAAACGGTCGACCATGATAAGTTTTAGGTAGACATATTGGGTTTGATCTTCCTTATCTCGTAAGTAGAGAAATCCGAGTGTTGTGCCCTAAATTTAATTTCTCGCAATTGTCAAACAACGACCGACCTGATTGAAATAAGGGTCGGCCAAATGGTCTTCTGCACGCAACAAAACATCAAATTAAACGGTGCAAATTACTAATTAGACAAGATGACGACGATAGCTAAAATAGGTCGACATCACTTTTCACGTGGTCGACCTCTTCAAACACGTACAACAACAACCTCAAAGGATCTTCTTCTTCATAAAAGCTCTAACCGTACAAAAAACCAAATTGAGAGTTTCGGTGGCAGTGAAGGTGACATATATTCGTATTTTTAGATATTTAGGACGAGATTGGATCGAATTAAGTGGTAGACAAGTTAGGTTTACCTTTCTAGTGTTGGAATCCTTATCCAATACGGATACAATGTGCACACGGTCGACCTCGTACCTATCTGGTCGATCGTTTATACTATTTTCCTAAATAATCCCGAGTTTGATGTTGATCAGTTAATGAAACAGAGGTCAACATTTTCACTTATGATGTCGACCTTTTAATAGCAAAATGGTCGGCCTTTGAGATATTTGGGTCGACCTTTTATATTGTTTTTTTTTCCGTTGGATTAGTTCCCATTTTATTAACAAGAAAGTGCAAAGGCAAACACCTTATGCAAGCTGATACAACGAAGGGGGAAATTCCAGAACAGAACTTACCCCGTGATCTGTAGAACCCAGGTCCTTCTACCACTTTCTACCTTTTCCAACTATGGCTACCCAAACAAGTTTATACGTTTACAATCATCTTCTAAAACTGGATAATAGGAATCAAAGAAAATCAAATATCTCTTCCATAGCTCCTGCACCACTTCAGCCGTTCTTAGGATCTCACCATGGACTCTTCGACACCGTTCCTGCCAAATGAAGGTAATCAAAGAGCACCATATAGGACCAATGAGTCTTCCCAGTGCCGTGCCACGCTTTGCGATCACACCTGCATTTGAGAATCTAAGATCCCATGAACTGCTACTAAACAAATTCCCTGCACTATTTACTATACTTCTCGAGAAACAACATTCAAAGAATAAGTGCTCACGAGTCTCACTACTCGCAACACATAACACACAACTACTATCAGTCACCTTACCTCATCGTACCAACTTTGGTTTGGTCACTATCGCATCCATGATGACAAGCCAGGTTATGAAGCTCCAGCGTGGTACAGAGTACTTACCCCAAAGGAGTGCAGACCAGTGCTGCTTGCAGTGTGAAGGTCGAAGTGTCTCCCAGACTGCTTGCACTGAGTAGCGAGGCATCATTTTCCCCTTCCATAAACCCTCCTCACCGTGCTTCCGCATAAACGGCTGCACAGATGCCCTAAGCTTAAGGATTCGCCTCCACGCCCATGAGCTCGAGGGGTTTATCTTCATGAGCCACAGATCCATCCCTTTACATCGATATGCAAGCATTCAAGCTACTCACAAGGCCCCGGTTTGCAGCATGAGAATCCAAAGCATCCTGGCAAAACATGCTTGTTCCCTGGCACAAGATCCCGCAAGCCTAGACCAACTTCATTCTTAGGGTACATAAGTCTTTCCCAAGCATATACGTTTACAGTCATCTTCTAAAACTGGATAATAGGAAACAAAGAAAATCAAATCTCTCTTCCATAGCTCCTGCACCACTTCAGCCATTCTTGGGATCTCACCATGGACTCTTCGATACCGTTCCTGCCAAATGAAGGTAATCAAAGAGCACCATATAGGACCAATGAGTCTTCCCAGTGTCGTGCCACGCTTTGCAATCACACCTGCATATGAGAGTCTAAGATCCCATGAACTGCTACTACAAAAATTCCCCGCACTATTTACTATACTTCTCGAGAAACAACATTCAAAGAATAAGTGCTCACGAGTCTCACTACTCGCAGCACATAACACACAACTACTATCAGTCACCTTACCTCATCGTACCAACTTTGATTTGGTCACTATCGCATCCATGATGACAAGCCAGGTTATGAAGCTCCAGCGTGGTACAGAGTACTTACCCCAAAGGAGTGCAGACCAGTGCTGCTTGCAGTGTGAAGGTCGAAGTGTCTCCCAGACTGCTTGCACTGAGTAGCGAGGCATCATTTTCCCCTTCCAAAAACCCTCATCACCGTGCTTCTGCATAAACGGCTGCACAGATGCCCTAAGCTTAAGGATTCGCCTCCACGCCCATGAGCTCGAGGGCTTTATCTTCATGAGCCACAGATCCATCCCTTTACATCAATATGCAAGCATCCAAGCTACCCACAAGGCCCCGGTTTGCAGCTTGAGAATCCAAAGCATCCTGGCATACATGCTTTGTTCCATGGCACAAGATCCTGCAAGCCTAGACCGCCTTCATTCTTAGCGTATGTAAGTTTTTCCCAAGCAACTTTTTGCTCGACCAGATTCCTCCCCATGCCAAAGGAAGCCAGAGCACAGTTTCTGAAGCTGCTGCAAAACCTTCTTTGGAAAGACAAATAGTTGGAACCAAAACTGGATGACCCCCATCAGAACCGATGACACCAACTGTAAGCGTCCTGCGTATGATAGTTTCTTTGCTTACCATGACCACATTTTTAGAGTGATTTTATCCAGCAGAATATCCCATTCAGAAGAGCTAATCTTTCCAGACACAAGCGGCATACCAAGGTAACGGACCGGGAAAGCCCCTTCCTTGAATCCTGTAATTGCCAACGCAACGCATTTGCCTTGAAAGCAATAGCCTCTCCTCCGAAATAGACCTCACACTTTTCCGGATTACACTTCAATCCTGACAATAGATAGAATTGATGAAGCACCGATTTAACCTTAAGGATAGCCTGCCCTGACCCTGTTGTGAATATCAAAGATCATCTGCGAAACACAGATGATTGAGAGACACTTTGCTGCACATCGGGTGATACGGCAAAGAACCTGCCATAGCTTCCCTATATAGTAAACCCGAAAGCCCTTCCATAGTTAAACTAGAAAAATACGGTGATAAGGGACCCCCCTGCCTCGCCCCCTTTCGTGCTTTAAAGAAACCACATAAACCCCCATTCAAGCTAATACTGAAGTGAGTTGTAGATAAGCAAACCCTTATCCATTGTATGTACTGTGTAGGGAACCCCATGATCTTCATAACTTTAAACAATTAATCCCAATGCACAGAGTCGAAAGCTTTCATAATATCTACCTTAATGGCTGATCTAGATGAAAGCTGCTTCTTATTGTATCCACTAACAAGTTCTTGAGCAAGCAATATGTTATCCATTATTCTTCTCCCTGGTAAAAGGCAGTTTCATTAGGGCTAATCACTTAATGCTTAACCTCTTTCAGCCTATTTGCCAACAACTTTGAAACCCCTTTATATAGAACATTCACACAAGAAATGGGTCGGAAATCTTTTAGTTTTTCCGCATTAGGAACTTTAGGTATCAAAGAAACTGCAATAGCATTAATACCACTCAACATACGATCCGAGGCAAAGAAGTCCAGGATACCTGCTATGATGTCCTCCCCAATTATATGCCAGGTGCACTTAAAGAACCCCACCGAAAAGCCATCCGGTCCAGGTGCTTTTGAACTATTAAGGCAGAAGAACACCTCCTTAATATCCTCAGGCTGAATAGGAGCACATAACAGCTGAATTGCCTATGTAGGAAGACGCCCTTTAATAAGTGGCCGAAGTAAATCTTCATCTGCCTACACCTCCTCATTAACCCTTCTAATGAGCTTTTGGTAAAAAGCTACCGCTTCATCAGCAATACGATCCACCTCCACCACCTCCACCACCTGTTTCTGTAACTAGCTTCCTAATGGCCTTCTTGGAATTTCTAATTTTGACAGCTTGATGGAAGAACGAAGTGCCCTTATCCCCTTTAGTCAACCAATTCACTCTCGATTTCTGCCAATAGAAGCTCTCCTCCTGCTGCCGCAGCACATCATACTGCTTTTGCATTTCATATCTTGCCTTAAACGTATCCTGATCAGGAGAGTCAAGTGACTGTTTTACGAGTGTCATTAACTGTTTCTCTATCATCTTAACCTGCTCACTAATGTTACCAAATACATCCTTATTCAATTTACGAAGGGCCTTTTTAACAGCTTTAAGCTTGCATTGCACTCTATACAAAGGGCACCCCTGAACAGGTAGGCTCCATGCTTCCTCCACAATTTTGAGAAACTCAGGATGAGACTCCCAAAATTCAAAATATTTAAATGCGTTTGGCAAAGACTTGAAAACTGGAATAGTAGCAACATAAATACCACAATAATCAGTAAAAAGGGCCACAGTCGCTTCCATCATACAGTTTGGAAAGCTATCTGTCCACTCAAGAGTAACCATTGCACTGTCCAGCCTTCTAGCAATAGGATTCCCCTGCTGATTATTTACCCAAGTAAACCATGGACCTGTAGTACGATAATCTACCAACTCTACCTCATTTATCCAGTTCTCAAAATCAAACATACTAGAACCTTTAATTTGCACATTTGATGTTTCAATCGGATGAACCACAACATTAAAATCTCCCCCCCCCCCCCCCGCGCGCGCGCTATCCAGGGTCTATGAACCACCTTATATATCATTATTTCTCTATAAGTACTCCTTCTCTCCACTTCCTCATTCGATCCATAAACAACAGTTAAGAAAAACGGAATTTTGTCAGCCCCCTGAACTAGAGCATGAACAAAGTTCTTACCAGCCTTGATGACCTGCAAAGTAATTTCAGGCAACCAGAAAATCCAAACACGCCCCCAGCTCAGAGTCGACATAATTCAAACAACGCTCCCAGCCTATAAAACAATCTGCCAACACCTTATCCTGCTTACATTTCCTGACCCTTGTTTCCAATACCGCTACCACCTGAACCTGTCTCAACCTCAGGACTCTCATCAAGTCCTTTCTCTTGGAGGGTTTATTAAACCCCCTAATATTCCAGAAGAGGATATTCATCCCGAAGACAAGGGCTGCTGCCCCTTCTTCTTCCCAATTTTCAAAGCAGCATCCTGTAAACTATTGACCTCACACTCCCCCAAATCACTAAGAACTTGAAACGGAGAATGAGCCTACTGCAGAACATTAATAGGACTCCCTGGAAAAGACTGAACATGCGGCTTAACGCCATTTATGACCTTTTGGAAATCAGCCTCAGATGGAAGTCTCGGTGAATCAGTGACAACCACAGCTTGGAAAGAGTCTTCAAGATTTACCCCAATTAGTTTTCTAGGTGATTCATACGCAACTACATTCGAGCAAATCAACAATAAAGCCTCCTCTCTCTGCTGCCCAGAATGCATCTCCACAACCTGCACTATCCCCTCACCTTTCTCTACCCGAGCTAACTGAGAAACTTCTTTTCGCCTCCATACCTGCTTCATTGGCTTACCCCCACAGTCACAAGATCCAAACAGAACACACTTAGAGCAAATATCAGGCAAGTGACAATAATTTACTCCCACCCGAATCGGGGAACCCTCATCCGGATGCAACATTACATGATCTGGAAACACCCCATCCGAAAGCAATTCAACCAAGACCTTAACATATCCCATTCGAGCACCTCGTCTGGTAGTGTGATCAACCCCTAAAGGAGTGCCGACCTAGCTTGCAATATGATTAAGCCCCGGAGAATCGATGTATTCCAGCGGGGTATTCATGAGGCGCATCCAGATCAGAAGCGCTCTGCAACCCAAATCCTCTGCACTGATTCCAGGGACCCAAGGTCGAAGATAAAGCATATTCTCATAATAGAACCACAACCCATTGTTCAGAATCCAGTCACTCGTAGCTTGAGAAGGCAGTTGGATCAAAATCAGCTGATCAGTCAGCAGCGAAACCCTAACAATGTCATCCCGCCCCCAAATTTGATTTGCCCATCTATGCAGAACCATCAGAGAAGGACGAGATTGGAGGAATTGACCCACCAAACAGTGTTTCCAGCGTGCCACTCCCGCCTCCTTCAACTCTCTCGGCATGCGAAGCCCTCCATTTACCACTTCAGGCTTCACATAGCAAAGACGATTCTCTTCTAGAATTCCAAACAGCTGCGCCCATGGTCTGGTGGGCTGACCCTCGTTCGCCGAAAAGCTCGACGCACCACTCATCAAAGCAGGTAGGGAAAGGCGCACCGGCGTAGATGCCGGCGCAATCCAATAGGACCGGCAACGACCAAAACCTAAAGGATCGAACAGTGCGAAGAAAATTTTCTCTCACTAGTTGTTCGCTTCCCAAAGAGGTCGACCATTTGCCGTAAAAGGTCAACCGCGTCATTGAGCCTCACAAAACTGAAACAGAAGATTAGGTCGACCTAATCCTATTTGAGGTCGACCGAAAAGTACAAGTTACGGTGACTTGCAAGTCACCGTAGCCAAGTCCTTTGGTTAATGATTAATCACTCACTCAGTTAGTGGTTAACCGATAAGAAAATTGATAACTGCATTAGTATAACCACATAGTTTGTAGGCTTTTGCTAAGGAACAAAGTTTTAAGATTCAAAACCAACCAAAGTCTCAATTTCAAACATCCCGTTTCCCACCTATTGTAAACAAGTCTCCACCCAAACTCTCAATTGTGTTTCAGAGTCAGAACCCGCAAGTCACTCCTCTCTGACTCCCCTTGTGATCTTGTTTCTTTGATTTTTGTGAGTGATAGTAATCTTGTGGTACTTGTGTTTGGTGTTTTGATAGTTGGTACTCGCTAGTTGGATTACGAATTTACGGTGGATGTTGTATTGTATTGATGTTATTTCTTATATTTATTACTTTATGTTAACAATATAGGAATATAGTTAAATTATTTAGAAATATTTGTTTGATTATTTTTTATTATTAAAAAGAAAACCATACAAAATTCAAAATAACAAAAGAAAATGTCACATGTTGAGGTTATTATTGGTTAGTGGTTAGCTGCCAAACCAACCGGCAAAACCCGACAAAAGCTCACTGGTTTTTTTATAATTATTTTCTGTTTAATGGTTAATCACTAGCTGTCAAATCGATTAGTGGTTAACCAAAACCAAATCGGTTGGCACTCCTAGGTGGAGGGCAGGAGACAAGAGGCGGAAAGAAAAAGAGAAAGGTGGGGTGAAATACAATAACTACTATGTACAATTATTTTCATAATATCCCTAATAATTATGTTAGTATAGTACTAACCATTAAAGTAATAATTAGGGATTCGAATTTATAAAGAAATATTGCACCAAACCACTCTAAGTATACTATACTTCTATATATTGTTCTAGATTCTATCTACGTCGGCACTTGGCAGAATTACCTAATGCCATGTTTGAGACAAATCTCATTAATATGTTTTTATCGAAAGACGTTGGCAAGAAGTGCTCAATATATATGGCCTAATGCACTTGGCATGTTGAGTAGAAGAAACCGAATATTATATGGCGTAATGCCCTCCCATTATAATAAGTGACAGCAACAAGAAGAAGAAGGGAAAAAAAAAGTGTGAAATCAAGCAGTCCAAATTCCTCATGTCAGTAAAATTAAAAATACATGGAAACAAGGATTAGAATAACACACAAATGAAGTGAAGCTGCCAAGGAAGAAGGAGAGAGGAGCCTCAACCACATGGCTCACCTGCCAGCCAGCCAGCCTACAATACGAATACAATACACTCTTCCTTGCTATAAAAACACAGAGAGATACCCTTTTCACATGATAGATATAGATTCTCGTGTGAACGTATATTCCCTCTAGTTATTATAATCTGATTCATGGAGAATGCTGACGAAAACGCCGGCGATGATTACACACAGGACGGGACTGTGAGCCTCGCCGGCCGGCCGGTCCTGAGGTCGGCCACCGGAGGATGGAGGGCTTGCTCTTTCATTGTTGGTAAGTAAAGTAACTAAGCCTCGCCGTTAAGTACTGTTTTCATGAATTTGAGGAGATACTTAATTACGTTCCTGTGGTGTTGTACGTGGCCTAATTAATTATTGCAGGGTATGAAGTGTTTGAGAGGATGGCTTACTACGGCATAGCGACGAATCTGGTGGTCTATTTATCGAAAGAGCTTCAAGAAGGCACTGTTCAGTCAGCTAACAACGTGACCAATTGGGCTGGCACGGTCTGGATTCTGCCCATCTTGGGTGCTTACGTCGCCGATGCTCACTTAGGCCGTTTCTGGACCTTCGCCATCGCCTCTGCCGTCTACTTCTCGGTAAGATCGATAGCTTTTCAACATCTTTGCAATCATTGCAGAATTGTGCTGAAAAACGTTGTTTAACCGTGGTTCAACCATTTAATACTGTCAAAATAACATATATCGATTTAGCTTTTGATAGGAAATTTTTCTAGTCGAACCGCAGATATGGTACGGACGATTAGGAGGTTTATTTGCATATAATAACTAGTAGCATGGAGATGTTTTGGGCTTTAGTTTTTAGTTGTAAGCATCTTTTTGGGCCTATTTCATTTGCGGCGAGGGCATGATTTGTCATAGTGTATCGTATTGATGGTTCGGAATACAAAAATCGCCTACTACTAGCTAGACATATATGATACATAATATATAGAAAATATATGTATTGTCTCGTAGGATAAGGTTGAATTTTTTATCCAGGTAGAAAATATAATATTTGTGAATCAAGTAAATTGTTGTTTGTTACCTGCATATAACATAATCAATTCTCATTTGAACAATCCAACTTAGGAGTCATTTGGTTTTGGTGATTGTTTGGTTGGGATAGTTACAATACATCCATTGTACACAATACCTCGTTTTTCTCCACAAACATACAAGCATTGTTTGTTTGACGTGACACAAACTATCAGTCAAAATGAGTAATAGTTAAATATCAAGTTTTTGGTGAGATTGTTTAGATAATTTGGTTGAGATTGTTGGGTTTTGTTTTTGTTCCAGCTATGATCCTATCGTGTGTTGTTTTTTTATATTAAAAATGAAGGGTAAAACTGATATTTCACCCAAAAAGTAATATAACTTATTTAAAACTATAATACCTATCACAAAAACCAAATGATGTAAACTACAATACACCAGTTTCCCTACATGCATGCATTGATGACAGTGCATCAATTTAATTGTCTTCAATTTAACTACCACATGCGTTATTGCTTCTTAGAGAGAGCCATGATTTGTTATTACCTAGTTGTTGCTGAAAGGAATTGATCCTCCACATTTGGATGTAGGGTATGATACTGCTAACCCTCGCGGTTTCGGTGCCAGGCCTCAAGCCACCAACGTGCCCCAATGGAGCAGCAGAATGTGACAAGGAAGTCACGCCTCTACAAAAAGGCATATTCTACTGTGCACTATACATCGTAGCAGTGGGAACAGGAGGGACCAAGCCCAACATATCCACCATGGGAGCAGACCAGTTCGACGAGTTCGAGTCCAAGGAGAGAACTCACAAGCTGTCCTTCTTCAACTGGTGGATGTTCAGCATTTTCTTTGGCACCTTGTTCTCCAACACGTTCCTAGTTTACCTTCAGGACCATGTCGGGTGGAGCTTGGGTTATGGCGTTCCCACTGCTGGACTCGGGATTTCCATCCTCGTGTTCTTCCTAGGAACACCCCTGTACAGACACAAGCTCCCCGTAGGGAGTCCTTTCACTAAAATGGCGCAAGTGCTTGTTGCTGCTGCCAGGAAATGGAATGTTGCTCTACCTCATGATCCCATGGAGCTCCATGAACTTGGCTTGGAGGAATACGAGAAGCTTGGGAAGTTCTGCATTGATCACACCCATTCACTGAGGTAATCAGAAAATTGATGAATGACATAATAGATGATCACACCCATGTTACTTAAACTAACTATCAAGAGCTTCCATCTATGGATTGTCTACAGATTTTTGGACAAAGCTGCAGTAAGAACGACCGGATCAACCTCACCATGGCACCTAACTCCAGTGACCCAAGTAGAAGAGACAAAACAGATGATGAAGATGCTTCCAATCCTAGCAACCACAATCATCCCAAGCGCCCTCGTGGCCCAAATTGGGACTCTGTTCATCAAACAGGGGACAACACTAAACCGGAGCATGGGGCCTCACTTCGAGATCCCACCAGCCTGTCTAGCAGCATTCGTCACCATCTTCATGCTCCTCAGCATCATAGTCTATGACCGCGCATTCATGCCATACATCAAACGTCTTACGGGAAACCCGCGAGGGATCACACTTCTACAGAGGATGGGGATCGGGTTCCTCCTCCAAATCATCGTCATGGTCGCGGCTTGCCTGGCCGAGAGAAAGAGGCTCGAAGTTGCCGCCCAACACAATCGGTTGGGGAGACTAGACATAGTCCCGCTCACCATCTTCATTTTATTGCCCCAATTTGCCCTAATGGGGGTGGCAGACTGCTTCATGGAGGTGGCAAAACTGGAGTTCTTCTATGACCAGGCGCCCCAGGGGATGAAATCACTGGGGACTTCTTACTTCACTAGCAGCATTGGGTTAGGCCAGTTCCTTAGCAGCTTCTTGGTGAGGACTGTGTCTGAAGTGACAGAGAGGAGGAATGGGAAGGGTAGAGGTTGGATCTTGAATAACCTGAATGTGTCCCACTTGGATTACTATTATGGGTTGTTGGTGGTGCTGGCACTCGTGAACTTCGTGGTGTATCTGTTAGTGGCTAAGTTGTTTGTGTATAATGTTGAGGGTTTGGATCCCAAAAGGCAAGTTATGGTGCAACATCACGATGGTGGTGATGATGATGATGGAATTGTTGGTATTCCCAAGCAATAGATAAGGTTGGTGATAATTGGACATTGAGAGTTAACATGACATGATGATTTGGGGCCATGTACATGTTGACCTGTTTGTAAGAATGATCGTGATGTTATATAATATGTCTTTCTTTGCCCTTGGATTATGAAGATAATTTTTTTTACGTTCTAAATGCAACTGAGGGTATGGAGTAATTTGATTTGATTTAATTTGTCAATAATAATGACTACAAATGTCTTAAATTTTAATCATGCTTTTCTCCCAACAAATTAAATGGTGTAATTTTTTATTGATGGACACAACAATTAAATACGGTAATTTAAAAAAAGGACACACTCTTTTTCTTTGACAACTGAAATCTAAATATTTTATTTAGCTGGATAAAGTGTCATTACAGTCCTTCAACAAGGACGAAATAACAAAAACAGGAGGCCTTTCAAGCCACATTTCTTTCTCCCCCCATCGACAAGCTATCCTTGCCATCTCATGGGCAACTGTATTGCCATTTCTCCCCCAAAACCTCCATCCAGCATCACCCATCTCCAACCCTAACTATATGATCTCCTCCACCACCTTCCCCAGTTTCGTTTCAATTAGACCATCCTGGTTGAGCTTTTGGATCAACGATTGATAGTCCGTTTCCATCAAAATTGGCCTCTGCACTGCACTTGCACCCTAGCCAGTCTCATCATCCACAAGAAGGCCTGGGCTTCAGCCACTTCCGGGTCCCAATCAATCCTCGTCCTCCTCACCGCCGATAGGACACATTTACCTTCCTCATCTCGAATCACCATCCCCATCCCTGTACCTCCCTCCTCCAACTTCATCGCATCCACATTCACCTTCAGAACTCCCCTCTCCGGTTTCTCCCATCGCACCATCGATCTAGGCATACGCTCCTGAGTAGCTCCTGGATTGCTATCACATGAATCTCCTCCAGGTAAAGTTGAGATCTCTCTATCACCTCCCATTCTTCAAGCTTTTTGTTATTGAAAAGATGGTTATAGCGTTCCTTCCACATGAATCATAGGGCCATAGCCATTGAACATAGCTCTTCGTCCGTAGCTTTGTCGCTAATTTCACACAACCATTCCTCAGTAGTCTTCGGCTCCCCTTCCATAAACAACTTTCAAAGAAAACTAGGTCTCCATACCCTGCCCGCCCAGTCACAATCCCTTAGGATATGCTCTTGAAGAATCAGATCAGACACCCAAGCTTGTAATCCCAGAGAGGAGACTGGTGAGTCAATCATGAAATTAGGGTTGCTCGGAACCCATTGATCCCACCAAATTCAAACTTGATATCCTCTTCCAATTCTCCACCTTATGCCTTCCTTCATCAAAGACTGACCAGCCATTAAACTTCGCCATGTGTAGCTAGGATTACTCCCTAGTTCCGCTTCCAGAATGTCACAATTGGGATAGTATTGTTCCTTCAATACTCGAGCAACCAAAGAATTGGGATTTTTCACAATGTTCCATACCTGCCTCCCCAGTAGAGCGATGTTGAAGCCATGTAAGTCTCTGAACCCCATCCCCCCTTCACTCTTCGGTTGACTCAATCTTTCCCAGCTCATCCAATGGATTCTTCTCTCCTCCTTTTTGTGTCCCCACCAAAATCCAGCAATAATTCTTTGTATTTCCTGAATCACTCCCTGGGGTATTAAGAACACAGACATAGCATAAGTGATCTGCGCTTGAGCTATGGCTTTAATCAGAACTTCCTTTCCTGCATTTGAAAGAGTTTGCTCTTCCACATCTTCACTTCTTTCCGCACCCTGTCAATGAGCTTTGAAAATACCGCTTTCTTTGATCGACCAATAGTGGTAAGTAGGCCTAGGTAATTGTCATGGAATTTCACCTGCTTCGTACCCAATAGGATAGCCATTGCTTCCCCGTCCTCATCCAACACGCTACTAAGAGATAACACAGATTTGGGCAAACTAACTTGTTGACCAGATTCCTCCTCATACTTTTTCAGAATCCGTTTCATAACCTCACCCTACTCCTTATTTTTGAAGAAGAAGATGTTGTCATCAGCAAAGAAAAGGTGGGATATACTTGGACCATTACCACTAATCTGAATCCCTTTCAACTTTCCTTCCTCCACGACTTTATTAGTTATAGCTGAAAGTCCTTCTGCACACATTAGAAAAAGATATGGAGATATGGGATCTCCCTGCCTTAGACCCCGGGTTGGGACAACAATCTCATATTGATAGTCATTGACCAAGATAGAATAGGAGACTGTTTTGACACATTGCATGATCAGATTAACCCATCTTCTATCAAACCCCAGCTTAAGCATGATCCGTTCCAAGAAATCCCATCAACCCTGTCATAAGCTTTTGCAATATCTAGCTTAGCTGTAATGTACCCTTTCTTCCCCCCCCCCCCCCTTGTTCTTCATTGCATTGAAGCATTCAAAGGCTACCATCACATTGTCAGTTATGAATCTTCCTGGAAAAAATGCACTATGATTCTCTGTAATGACCTCGTTTAAGATTCCTTTAAGTCGATTGGCAAGCACCTTCGAGAGAATCTTGTACAAAACCTTGCACAAACTAATAGGCCGATATTCCATAGGAGTTTTAGGTGACTTTGTCTTTGGGATCAGGGCCAAAAAAGTCTGGTTTAAACTTGTTGGTATCTTTCCACTCTCAAGAAATGATTATAATTCTTTTGTGATTACAAGGCCAACCATTGACCAGTTCTTCTTGAAAAAAGTGCAGGCATTTCACCTGGTCCCAGGGCCTTCAAGGGTGCAATGTTCTTCAGTGCTCCCCGGATTTCCTCTTCTTGAAAAGGTCTTAGTAGGTATGCATTCATTTCTTCTGTTACTTTACTTCTCACTGCATCAATTACTTCGCTCCCTGAGGAGCTTGGTCCTGCTTTGAATAGCGTTTGATAGTATTCCACTATTCCTCGCATAACACCTTCCTGATCTTCAAAAATAGTTCCATCAACTCCCTGAATCTTTGTTATTTAGTTGCGCTTCTGTCTGTCATTAGCTTTTCAATGGAAGAATTTAGTATTTGTCTCCATCTTTAAGCCAATCTTCTCTTGAACGTTGTTTCCACATCAACTCTTCATGATAAAAGAGTTCACTTAACTCTTTTTCCAATGACTTTCGTTGTAACAGTACAACCTGGTTCTTCTTCCTCTTTGATATAGCCTCTAGAGCCCTCTCAGACCTCATAATTCTTCGCTTGATACTCCCAAACATTTCTCTACTCCGTTTCAGCAAGGTCTTCTCACAGGCTTTGATCCTCTCCTCCGTATTCATTTCTGGATTCTTCTGCCACTCCTCTGCAATAATGGGCAAGCAATCCTCATGGTTTTGCCAATACACCTCAAACCGGAATTGCCACCCCCATTGAGGTCTCTCCTCTCTTAAGAACAGTTCTATATTGACGGGGAGATGATCCGAACCCAACGTTCCAAATGATAAACTTGCGCGAACTTGAACAACTCTTTCCATTTATTATTTGCTACAGCCCTATCCAATCTCTCTTCCAGGAAACCTTCATCCACTCGTCCATTATCCCGGGTATAGTAACTACCAATATATCCCAAATCCTCCAAATTGCAAGCATCCAGCATTTCTCGAAATTCCTCGATATGGTGGACATATGGGGGTCTGAGACTATTCTTTTCTCCATATTCAAGGACTTGGTTAAAGTCCCCACAGAGTAGCCAAGGCAGATCCACTTATCTATGTAATCTTCTCATTCAGGACCATGTCTTATGTTTCTTTCCTTGATTTGGCCATCCATAGATCCCAGTAAGTAGCCAATTCTTTGATGGATCTGATTCTTCTACTAATACATCTATAAAGTGTCTAGATTGGTCTTTAACAATAATTTTCACCTCATCCTTCCACAGTAATAACAGTCCTCCAGCTCTTTTCTTAGAGTTCAGTCCTTTCCCTTTCGTCCAACCCATATCATGCATCACTTGTTCCCATTCATGATTATGCTTCTTTGTCTCCATTAGAAAGACAATACTGGGGTCCTTACGTCTTAGTAGCTCTGCTACTCTCTTCACTGTTGTGGGATTCCCCAGCCGACGACAGTTGTAGCTCAATACACTAATTGAGTTGGGCGGCTCTGCTCTTTGACAGAGTCCGCCACATCTCCATCCTTTTGTGTAAATTTTTGTTTCTTCATGTCAATGTCCATATGAACCGCCTACTCCTCCTCTACATGCTCACGTTTGGACCCTCCTACCAAGCTAGTAGAAAGGCCTTGTGGACGCTCTTTGCTCTCTGCTTGACATCTCCAGAGTCCTCCCTTCTTGTCTTGAAGTGGTCCTTTGGTATGCTGACCACCTGACTGCTGATCTCCCTCCTCCTGTTCCTCCCCTGCTAGGGTCATTTTCTGTGAATTGATTGCTCCTGCCTCCCCACTGAACTTTAAAGCAAGCTCTTCCTTTCTCATCACCTGCCTGTTATTCCATATCTTTTTCTGACTTTCTTCTTTTTCATAAGCCTCCGTTGGGCCTTCATGTTCCTTCATATTTTCGAGTTTTTTCGGTTTCAGTCAGACCAGCAACTAACTCCATATTAGGTGTAACTTTCTTTTCCACTACTGTTGTAATATGTTGGGTTCTAGCTAGAATTATATTGTCCCATACTCCTGGGTTAACATCGTCCATATCTTACAGTCCATCTCTCTCTCTTGATTTGACATTCTTGGACCCTTTGGGAGTGGTCCTGCTTTGATCCAGTGTCCTTATGCATCTTTTTTTGGTGGATCATGACTCTTACAAAACTTCTTCGGATGCCCTACGATCCCACAAAAGAAACAAAAAGTGGGGATCCTTTCGTATTTCGCTTCAAATTCTTGGAACCTGCCCTCAATGTTCAATTAACTTTCTTTCCGATTGGTGTGTTTATGTCTTTTTGCACGGAAGCGCATAAAAGTGCTCCAAATTCCTGAGTTTCGTTCATTGAACAATAAGAACCTGCCAAACCTGCTCGCTACTTTGTCCACCATTCCTTGGTTCCTATAGGATGGAGGGATATCCAAGACTCGGATCCAAATTTCCATCTCATGTAGATCCTCTAGTCTGACTTTTCTGTTTAAGTCAGCTTTTGCAAAAATCAGAAGATCTCCATAAATGTGCCAAGGGCCTCCAAATCGGACCCTATTCCTGTCATCCATCTCGCTGAACTGAAAAGCATACATATTCTCTTCTACCAACGTGTTAGTGAACTCCTTTTCAGATTCCAAGCTTTTGCTAACGCTGCTTTCATCGCCTTAATGTTAGAGTTTTGAGAGGCAAGCAACCTTCTGATTAGCCCTAGTTTTTGTACTACTAGGTCGATTCCTTTTGTCTTGTCTTTCTCTTCGATCAGCAAAGGCTCTTCCTCCTCCTCCTCTAATCTTATTTGTCGTAGTTGACCTTCCAGTATCTTTGTTGCAGGGTTCGTTTCACTCTCAACTGCCATCTTACTTCAAAACAAGAAAACTCAACAGAACTCTCTCAAGAAATAGGTGGAAAAGAAGCTCACTCTCTTTCCTGAGCGCCTGATGCAACACAGTGGTCGAGACCCTTTGGATAGCTTGACAAGATCCACAGGGAACTCTCCCTCCTCAATCTATCTCAATTACTCACAAAGAACGACGACAACTGAATATGGTTTCGAGGAAAACCCCTAATCGCCGACTCAGCTCTCAAAAAAATTCTCAGAAACGAGAGAATATCTTCATTACTGCTATACCCACTCATAATTTACAGTTTAATGGGGCAATAGCCATTGGCCAATGTATTCTCATAACCGATTTTTTTTTAACAACTTATTGTAAAACAAACAAGAACGAAGGAAGAGGCCACTCAAGGGCCCAAGTCCTCCATCAAAAGTTGGCCTAGACGAATGAGAGCCTCATCAACCCAAAAAAGAACAACCCAAAAAGAAGGGGCGGTCAAACATGAATTAATCATTTCATGTCACAAACAGTCTATTTGGATAGGCAAAAAAACTGAAGAATTGGAATTCCATTTCCAATTTCAATTCCATATTTTATGTTTGGAATGATAAGAAGGTTGAGAAATGAATTTCATTTACGGGTCGTTTGCTTCGTGGATTTGAAAAATGAAGGTTTTGGTAAAACTTTGGTTTTGTAAAACCATGGATATATGAGGGTTTTGGGTTCATTATGGATTTGAAAAATACCATTGTTTGTTTCATAGATTTTATGATGGAATTGGTTAATTAGATTTGTATGTATGAAATGAAATTTACCTTTATTGCCCTCATTGGTATGAGAAGAGAAATGAAATGTGAGGGATAGTTTGGTCTTAAATGATGGACTTCGAAGTCCATGATCAATTCCCGGAAAAAATCCAAAACTACCACTGTTTTAAAAAAATTTTACAAAAATACCACCATCACCAAATAATTTCCAAAAATACCATCGTTTATATAAAACCGCGCCTCTGATGAGCGGTTTTCAATGAAACCGCTCCTCTAGGCTGCGTTTTCCCTTATAACCGCTCCTTGGACGCGCGTTTTTATTTTCCAGAGAAAACCGCTTCTGGGACGCGCGGTTATAGGCTAACCCTACCACAAAACGCTTTAAGAGGGAGCGTTTAAATGTCGGCATTACAAACCGCCTGATAAAGGGGCGGTTTACAATGTCAGGACACAAACCGCTCCCCCGAGGCGCGGTTTGTGCCTGGTCACCCGACACCCGACATGTCCGCATGCAGGGGTAGGGCTGCATGGCAGACATAAAACCGCTCGGCATGCAGGGGTAGGGCTGCATGGCAGACATAAAACCGCTCCCCCCCCCCAAGCGGTTTTGCTGCAAAATTTGCCTATAAAAGGCTGTTTCGGAGAACTCAATTCTTCACACTTCCTTCCTCAAATTTCTGCTTTGCGCCTTTAAATTATTTAGTTTTTGCCCTCAACGTTAATTTGTAAGTTTGTTTCGTAATTACTTTTCATTGTCTTTGTGATTTTATGTTAGTAACTTAATTACTTTTGATTGTCCTTTGTGATGTTATGTTAGTAACTTAATTACTCTTCATTGTCATTTGTGATTTTATGTTAGTAATTTGAATTACTTTTCATTGTCCTTTGTGATGTTATGTTAGTAACTTGTGTTACTTTTCATTGTCATTTGTGATTTTATGTTAGTAATTTGAATTACTTTTCATTTTTCTTTGTGTTGTTATGTTAGTAACTTGTGTTACTTTTCATTGCAGTTGACATTCCAAAGGTTCACGCTTGGGTTGCGGTGGAATGGTTACACGGAAGAGACCGAAAAGGGTGTAAGTTACGTCGGTGGCAATTTTCATAAAATGAAGGTCCGTACGAGACCGATGCTTGAAGAGCTCCATCAAATGTGCACTCAGATTACCTGCATGGATGGCACTAGAAGAGTTGATCGAATGGTGTATCGATATCCAAACAGACATGACGGGTCGCTGTGGTATGAGGAATTCCTCCTTACCACTCAGGAGGACGTTGATGCCATGGTCCAAATTTTGACCACCAATACAATGAAGCAAGCGGAGATGTTCGTTTACACCGAGGCCGTTGAAGGCAGTGTAGGTCATTCTGGAGCTGGCCAAACATCTGGTATCCACGGTGGGAGTGTATTATACGAAGATCATCCCCACCAGGATTTCCAAGACTCGAGTTGGAGTCAGGAGGAGTATCATCATGGAACTGGAGGAAGTCATCAATCCTTCCCTTCATATGAAGAAGAAGTTCAACAGGCGGATTACAACCAACAAGCTGGCTACCAGTACCCACCCGAGTACAACTTCTAACAAAGCGGTGTTAGTTACCACAACTACCATTGCGGAGCTAGTGAAGGTCAAGGTGCCTTTCATGCTGATAATCAAGATCAAGAAGAGGTCAATCCAAGTCCAGTTAGTGACCCTGAGGTTGAAGAAGAGGAAGGCGAAGTTAGTGCAGACAGCTCCGATCCGCTGGAAGGTGCTGATGATTCCGGTCCAGATTCAGACGCAGATGGTGATGAGGTACCTCACGACCGTGTACCTATTCCATACTACAATCACATTCAAAGTGAAGATTGGTATGTTGATGCCGACATGGACCCGCCAGATGTGCCAGTATGGGGTCCACTAACTGGCTTTTCGAAGGGCCAACAATTTGCAACGAAGAATGAGGTTCGACACGCTATTTCCACTGAAGCAATGACTCGGAGTTTTGAATGGTAGACAACCCATTCCGACACAAAGAGGCTGATGGTTCGATGCAAAAACCACAATGAGGGATGCGCTTCTAGGGTCCGGGCCATCAAGAGCAAGAGAGTCGGTCATTGGGTCATATCCCGTGCGGTGAACACACACACATGTGTGTCATCAATAACATCCCAAGGCCATCGACAGTTGAAATCAAGGGTGGTTGCCGCAGCTATCAAACATCTAATTGAGGAGCAGCCCGACCTGAAGGTGAAAACCATCATCGCCCACATTTCTAGTCGTTATGGTTATATCATTAACTACAAGAAAGCGTGGCATGGGAAACAGAAAGCAATGGCTGCCGTGTTTGGTGACTGGGAAGAATCATATGCATTCCTTCCCAAACTGATTTTGGCGTTGGAGGTGTCTAACCCTGGAACCATTTTCTCGCCTCACCAAATAATTTCCAAAAATACCATCGTTTATATAAAAACGCGCGTCCAAGGAGCGGTTATAAGGGAAAACGCAGCCTAGAGGAGCGGTTTCATTGAAAACCGCTCATCAGAGGCACGGTTTTATATAAACGATGGTATTTTTGGAAATTATTTGGTGAGGGTGGTATTTTTGTAAAAAAAAATTTAAACAGTGGTAGTTTTGGATTTTTTCCTCAATTCCCACCTAAAGATGTGGAACTTCCAAGTTCGTGGGGTCCACGGATTTGGACCCTTAAAGTTTGTGAGACCCACGAATTTGTTGCCTCTAAATACACGATGAAGCAAACAATGGATTTCGGACAAAGTCCATGATGGATTCAAATTCATCACCAAATCCATCTCAAATTCCATCAAACAAACAACCCATTAGCCTAAGTTTTGGGAATTACAATTCCTATCAAAAGTGATAGGAATTGGGTTTATGAAGATGGAATTAGTGAGTCCCATCATTATTTATTATTATTTTATTAATCAATTATCACTCTGCATTCTACTCTCTTTCTCGGGTTAATTGTATGGTTGGTCACTGAGATTATAAAAAACGTTCATGTTTGGTCACTGAAAATATTTAAATCCAATCTTGGTCACTCAAATTAGTTAAATGGTTCAAGTTTGGTCACTCTCCGTCCAACTCCGTTAAATTTGTCTGATGTGGCAGTCAACCCTCAAAGTTGACCGTTAACTTGCTGACGTGGCAATTAAAATATAATAAATAAAATAAATTTTAATCTTCTACCATTTCCAACTCATTTTTACAATAAAGTAAAATAAAAAAAATTATTATCACAAATTGAAAGAGTAGTTTCCTCCTCCGCCACCACATCCCTTCCCGCAATCCCCTCCGAAAACAGAGAGAAAAAAAGAGGATAAAAATGGCTTATGGGTTCCTCGACGGAGAAGGAATCGGCGGCGGTTCAGATTTCTTGTCCGGCAGATCGATGAATCCCAACTTGCAGACAAACAACCCTTACCGAACCCAGCTCTCCCAAATGTTCCTCGACTCTTCTTCCCAGATCGCCCAGCAGCAGCAGCGGTTCCACCAATCGCCGGTGGCGAGTTACTTCGGGAAGAGAACCCTGTCCGATTACCAGACTTCTTCGATTTCAACTCTATCCCCCATAGATTGGCGGGTAAATTACTCCATCATTTCAAATTTCCCAATTTCGAGAAACGAGCTCCGAGCGGAAACCCTAGATTGAGGCGACGGAGGAAGAAATGGGATGTGATCATCATCGTAACCAATCCGCTGACGGTCTGGTGATTCTGTTGATGAAAGCCCACCATGATCTCGCAGCGGTTCAGTTCAAGCTGGAGAAGGAGTTTCAACAGACTTACCCTGAGAATGTAAGTTGGCTGGTCTTCGAGGATTTCCTTTCTTCTACTCGTGTTTCTGAGTGCAGGCAAATCCCGTGAAGCTGGTTAATAGGATAAAGAAGATACAGGAGGAAGTTTCAGGGCTAAAGGAGCAGTGTCGTGAGCTTATTGCTGCAAAGCAGGTGCTTCTCCGCTTGGTTTCTGTCAATTTGGATTGTCCAGGATAGTCAAACAACCAAAATGCTTTCGGATTGGATTGGTTAGTAGTAGTGAATCAGTGATGGTGCACTTCTGAGTAATCAGATTCAGTTCTTCCTCCACGGCTCTGAGATTCATTCTACTCATTGTCATGTTGCTGGAGTAAGTATGAACCGCCGCCGATTCCTCCTCCGCCGGGGAACCCAGAAGCCATTTTTATCCTCTTTTTTTCTTTCTGTTTCCGGAGGGGATTGCGGGAAGGGATGTGGTGGCGGAGGAGGAAACTACTCTTTCAATTTGTGATTATAATTTTTTTTTATTTTACTTTATTGTAAAAATGAGTTGGAAATGGTAGTAGATTAAAATTTATTTTATTTATTATATTTTAATTGCCACGTCAGCAAGTTAACGGTCAACTTTGAGGGTTGACTGCCACATCAGATAAATTTAACGGAGTTGGACGGAGAGTGACCAAACTTGAACCATTTAACTAATTTGAGTGACCAAGATTGGATTTAAATATTTTCAGTGACCAAACATGAACGTTTTTTGTAATCTCAGTGACCAACCATGCAATTAACCCCTCTTTCTCTATCATTCATAGTCCATTTCCCAAGAGAAAACAAACATATTATATTATTACTTATAGTTAAAAGTGCAATTCATTTCCATAGTTATAGAAATTATACCAAACACAAAAATTGAAAAAATAAATCTATAAAAATAGAAAATGAAAATGAAATTCCATTTTCATTTCTTCCGGAATTGTATCCAAACAAGCAGTAAACTACTTATCAATAAGATATTTTTACGGTCAAATCATCAATACGATATGATTTCATAAAAATACAAGTAATTAATTTTTTAAACCAATTGTCTACTATTACCAACAGAAAAAACAACATTGGCACTAATTAATTATTATTTTTGTTCTTTCACCGATATAAGCTTAGTTTGGCCATGCTGTAGCTTTTGCAGAAGCAGCTTCTGGCTGGAGCTTTTAGATAAGTACTTTTCAAAAAAAGCAGTTTAGTGTTTGGCTGTAAAACTATTAGAAGTGCTTTTTAATATGAGCGGTTGTGTAAAATGACTATAAAGGACTTATAATATAAAATATAAATAAAAATTCGAAACAATAAAAAGTAGTCAAAATGGATCTTGTTAGATTTCTTTTATATTAAATAATATGATTTTATAATTTATTTTATTTTTAAAATGATATAAATGAAGGAAAATTATATTTTCTGAAATAAAATTAAAATATGGTAAGGATAATCTTGTATTTTCAAAACAGCTTTTCGCAGAAGCTCCAAATCGGAGCTTCTGCTTTTATGTTATACAAAAGCGCTTTTCGGCTTTTCAAAAGCCGAGCTTTTAGAGGTGTTTGGCCCTGCTTAAGCTTTTGAAGCCGAAAAGCACTTCTAAAAGCCGGGCCAAACATAGGCATATAACATTATAACTAATTATGTTCCGAATGAAAGCCAAAACGGTAAGGCTGGAGGAGCGCCAATCCAAACGACATATGATTATTTAAATAAATATTAGTCGCTCCAGCTGGCGCGCATCCCACACGGAGCTATAACGGTCATTTTTAGTTTTTTACTGCCTTATCCTTCCTAGATGAAACAATTCTTAATCAATTAATTAAATAAATAAACAACAAAATCCTAACGACCGTTTTCTTGGAAAAAAAGTGGTTTCGACTCGACCGTTTTCTTTTCCGCCAGTCTGCCGCCCCGCCTTCACTCCAAACGTTCTCTCTGTTTCTCGTCCTCCCTCTCTGTTTCTCTCTGCAACAACCCATGGCCCAACAGGGAGAACCGAAGCAGAAACCTCTCTCTTCCTTTCTTTCTAGATAGGAGAATCGAGAAGGCAGGCGATAGGAAAAAGGAAACGGATAATCATAATATCATCCCTTTCTTTCCTCTTTCTTTCTCCTCATTCTTTCCTCGATCGAGCGAGAGAGAAAAGAAAGAAACAGAGTGTGGGGTTTTCCCCTTTCAATCTCCAAAAATGGGTTGCTTCTCGGCGTGTTTTGGTTCCTCCAGAGATCGGAGAAGGAGATGCAGGAGGCAGCAGCACAAGAAGCACAACCAGGTTCAGCCTCGGGACCAGGTAAATATGAATATCACGGATTTTGAATGGCATTACTTCTGGGTTTCTTTCTCTTTGTCCCTTGTTGGTTCTAGAGAAACCATATGAAATCTCGGAGAAGCAGGGTGGGGAAAATGTAGGACCACGGATTCTAGGGTTTTCTTTTTGATTTGGGGGTGTTGCTCCTGCTGCTGCAGAGAAATACTGATCAGGATCTTGTGCCATCAAGCCTACCCGTGGAGCAGAGCCAAACTTCAGAGGAACCAGTGATCATCAGCACAGTGGTAGAAGAAATCGAGTGAGTAAAGAGAAAAAAAGTCTAAATCTTTATGAGCTTATCATTCGTGAATTCACTTCACTCATCGTCTCTTTTTATGGTTTTTTTTTTTTCGGAGCAGGGAGGAAAAGCCAGAGGGGGAGTCGAGTCCGGTTTATCTTCGCAAAAGAGTGACATTTGATTCCAATGTGAAGGCATACGAGCCTGTTTCAGTTGAAGAATCCGCCGAATTTCAGAATGCTGCTACTCCCAAGCAACATATTGATAATGGAAATGATGATGATCAAAACAAACACCCAAAGCAAGACCAATCCGATGACACTTCCTCTGAAGCAAGTTCTTTGACAACAAGCTCCAGCTCCTACCCTTCCAACAACCATCGGTACCAGAACTGCAGGGACAGCGATGAAGACGACGAATTCGATTTGGACGGCCAAACTGATTCTGATTCTGATTCTGACAATGAGGATGAGGGTGATGGAGAGCTCGACTATTCCGACGATGACCTTCACAATGAGTCGACCACTAGGTTTCCCTCTGCCGCAACGAACGACAATGGCTGCTTCCTGAAGGCGGGAATTGAGAAGCCAGGGCAGAATGTGCGAGACAGGAGTGGGTATGTGCATCCAGTGCTGAACCCTGTAGAGAATCTTACTCAATGGAAGGCTGCCAAGTCCAAAAAGTCATCACCACCACCACAATTGAACCATCATCAGCCTTCTGATAAGGAGAATGACCAAGAACCCAGCTTCAAGGTGAAATCCAAGAAGACAGTAGTAAACCATGAACAAGTAATGGCAGTGGATGCCAGCTTGTCCAATTGGCTGAGTTCTTCTTCATCATCGTCATCATCGGACTGCTGCACGACAACGCCAAAACCAAACAAACAGCCTACTACTACCTCTTCCACCACGCCACCGCCAGAGACGAGGAGCCCTGGCAATTGGGCGGGATCAGCTTCCCCTAAGAGCTTTGAGGACAGGCCGATCCTCGGGGCGTTGACGGTGGAGGAGATCAGGCAGATGTCGGCATCGAATTCTCCAATTAGGAAGTCGCCTGGTCACAGCCCTGATGACAAGTTCATAATTGGGAGCGTTGGGAGCTACTGGAGGAGTGAGAGCAGCGATTGTAGCAAGTCTGGGAAGGAGAAGGATTTCAGCAGCTCTGCCTCGTCTTCGTTTAAAGGAATCCCCAACGCAACCAGCAAGTATGGAGAGGTAAATGATGAATGGTCGCCATTGAACAATTATGGGATAGGGGTTGCGATTGTAAGTAAATGCTGAATGGTTTTCCTTGTTTTTTCCCGCTATTTCCATGACGGGGTTTTGCAGGATAAGAGAGTGAATTGGCAGTCCACTCCGTTTGAAATCAGGCTGGAGAATGCTTTGAATGGCGCCCAGGGTTAGAGGTGAACTGTGGTGGTTGTTATTGAGAAAGTTAGCAGAGCAGCAAGGGTGTTTGCATTGGGAATTTTTTTTGGCTTTCCGTGTTAGGAGGGAGGGTTTCTTCCCTTTCTGAAGCAGTGCTGTTCTTCTAATATTCATCGATCATCAACGCAACTTTTGAAAGTGTGTTTGTGATTTGTGAATGATGAATTTGTGATGGAATGTTTACACTTCGAGAATCAGATTAGAGTGTGACCTTACGATTCAGTAGCTTCTTCTTTTTGGAGTGGACAACTTTCACATTAGTATTATCGTTGAGCGTGTTCTTCCTAGATCTAGGGGCATGTTGGGCCTTATTTGAGTCGTTGCGGTCAGGAGTGTGTTTGTGATTTGAAATAATGAATTTGAGATGCTTCGAGAACTAGATTAGCTTGTGATCCTGCGGTTCAGTAGCTTCTTCTTTTTGGAGACGACAACTTTCAAATTGGTACTAGTTTTGTACCCGCCGGAGTATTTTGTTTGGTTGTTTTATAATTCGTTATAGTATTCTAATTGTTATTATTATTTATGTTTGTTAAGGTAATATACATGGAATAGTAAATCTTATTTACCTTATTTCAGGTATTGTTTCATACTTTTATACCTTTTGTTTATTTATAAACATTTTAATTTTATTAACTGAGCTCTTTGTAGACGGTTCTTTATTTATTTAATTTTTTTTATCAAACTCGCCCTTTAAGATTATAAACATAAGAGATAATTTATTCTTTAATACACAATTGTGATAAAGACGTTAAAAAACTTACGGCCACAAAAGAAGAAGTTAGAATAAGAAAATATGCTTCAATTAATAAAAAAATATAAGTGAAGAGTTTTTTATTTTCTTTCCCTTCTCATATGTCGGTATATGATAATAGAGAATATTCTGATCTAAATCCCATGAATATCGTGTATTATCACTTACACATACAATTTTGGAATAATGAGAAAACTCATTAGCATCCACGTCCATCAATCTTCCACATACTTGTTTAATTACCTTGAAATGTTCTAGCAAAACCAACTACAAACAAAACTATCAGATGTCATTAACTTATTAAAGCAATATTTTCAGCAAATTAAACTACATATAATTAAACACAATTTATATATTGTAGAGAGCTACATATCTCCTGCAGAAAAGAATTGTGCTTTATTACCTAATAACAACATAGACAAATAATGAAAGGAGCAGTCTTCAATACAACTCAACTCATTTTATCATTCAGATTCCTCATTTGTGAACAGAATATACGCATCAATCAAAATAGTAGTTTGTAAGAAAACAATCATGTTTAAATCAATCTTTAGTTAGGGATTCAATGCGGAAAAATTCACCTTAATGAAACAAACAAATGTCACCGCAAACATGTAGAAATTAAAAACACATTGAAATAGACAGCCGAGAAACCCCAATTATGCTCCCTTCTACTTATAACCCCTTTGCTATCTAATAATTACTAACCAGATCATCATTGTATAGCTAGCTAGTAGTAGCATGTCAATCATGAACATAAAATATAATAAACAATCATCACAACTCTACTTTCCATTTCAACATTAAAGAAATCGGGTTGCAATAGACATTCAAGAAAAACGATCAATTATTCAACCAAAGGAGGTATGCCCTAAGTCCAACCAATTAACCCTTCTAATTATATTTTATATACATAAAAGTATATGGCGACCCTTCTCCGTAATTTGGAAGAAATTAAGAAAAGAATGGGAAGAAGAGTATAACTCGGCCAGTCAACCGCAAACAATAACATACCGCTGAGAAAGTGAGGCTAGTTGCCAGCTTTAGATCAAGGAGGAAGAGGGGGCAGTCGACAACTCTCGACTTGGTTCACCTCATCTTCACAATGATCAGATTAACTTTTTTCGTCAACAGGCAAAAATATGTTACAACTGCTCAAAATTTTGTCATCTAATCGTTGTCTCGTGTAACTCCTGCCTCCTATTCTCATACAAAGGAAAAAAATCGTATGCATTACCATTTCCTTCTCTATAAATTATGAGAATAGAAATCTCAAATAATTTAGCAACTAATAAGAGTGCTTTGTTTATTTTTATGGTGGTTGACATACTTTCTTGATTTCTTATTTTCAATGTTGGATTTTATTTCTAAAATACAATCAAAATGGGAAAGAAATAGAAACAAATTCAAAGTTTGCATTAATAATTAATATGTTTTCATTTAACCGGAATGAATAAGAAGTTTTTCAAAAAATAACAATTATTGCTCTGTCAAGTTTATATTCAGACATTTAGGTATATACATAAGAAAGAAGTGAGTGTTTGATAGCAAAAAACATATAGTCATATGGTTAATTTTTCAAAGTCGATTGATTGTCAAACGCTTATTTTCTCTTAAACCATCGTTTATATTTTGTTTAATTGAAAATATTAATATTTATGTTTGTGCTTGTTTTTTTTCTTCATCAAAATGTAACTTATTATTAAGTTTTAATAAAAATTAGTAAAAAATTTACTTAATCAGATTTAATCAGCTTGGGTTAAACAAATACAATATATGTCACTCTCTGTTTACATCTTTATAGTTTGTTTAATTGGAAAAAAATATTACTTAAGTGTGTGTTTTTTGTTTAAATCTTTCCTAAAAATTAACTTATTTTAATTTTAGTAAAAATGAGTAGGATTATTAAAAGAAGAGAGAGACAACTTCATAAATAGATCAATAAATAGTTTTTTTGTTTATAAACAAAATTGTCCACCTTGGCAACTTGTGCATTCACCAAGTGCTTATGTGGAAAGAAGTTTTTTTTTAATAGCCATAATATTTAGTATAGATAGATATAGATTATCATTGAGCGTATTCTTCGGAATGGGTTACCCTGGTTACTTCTTTTGAAGTAATCACCATGACTATCTTTTTTTTTTTGGCCATACAGATCATGTGGATTCAATCTGAGGGTCCATCTTGTTGAAGGGTGTTTTCAGAAGGTAGGGGTGGGCAATGGGCGGGTAGGGTGGGTTTTGGTCTTAAATTGACCCACCCGCTTACTAACGAGTTGGAATAATTGTGACCCGCAATCCACCCACATACCTCTCTGGGTTGGGTTGGGTGGGTGATAGATGGGTGTGGTTGGGTTATGAGTCAACCCACAAAAGCAATTCTCCAACTAGCCATTAAGAAAGTTGACTAACATTTATAATAGGTTCATAGCAAATTAGTAAGACTATATCAATAATCTGTGATTTGATACAATTAATAATTTATAGTTTGCATCCCAATATTTAATTGATATTAACAATAATTTGCATACCAATATCCAATATCTAATAGATATTGCACAACACAAAATCAATAATAGTAGTCGGAACTATTCTTTATTCTCCACCTTTTGAAGTATATGGTCATACAGTAGTGCAGTTCGAAAATATGATTAATATTCTATACTATTAAAACCAACATTTTTTCATGCAAAAATAGGATGCGGGTCATACGGGTGACCCGCAATCCACCCACCACCCATCCACATAATTGCGGGTGGAAGATTTATCAATCCACAATCCACCCACATCAATCACCCATTGCATGCGAATCAGGTTATTTGCGGATGGATCGATATCAATATGCGGATTAACCACCCACATGCTCACCCCTATCGGAAGGCACCACAGGATCATCCATTCACTTGACGTCATTATTGGGGGCCCGAAATTAGTTGAATCTTTCATTTTCCCACGCTTCCACTTTTTTATCGTTTTCCTTATCACCGCTGCTACCAAGAAGCATTTTCCGTTTAGCAGAAGATTTTTCACCACCCCTTGCTATTCCTGCTGTTCTCTCCGGGCGCCGAAGTAATTTTCTTTGGGCCGACGACTGGTTGTTTCTCAGTTGGTGGATCATCGAGGTTTTCGAAAGCTACCTTTCGTTTCCAGTTCCTCCCACTCCGACGAAACATGACACACCGACGAGGTTGATTTCAGCTCCTCTGGCATCTTCGTTTGTTTCCCAGCGCAGTCGACAGCAAGGGCAGCCAGATCTTGGCTCGACAACTCATCTCAGTGGTGAGAAACTGGTCAAAGGTTGGTCTCCGCTAGAACCCTAATCGTCAAATTTAAATTAGGTGTAGTAGTGTGCTTTATGGTATATGTTTTGTGGTATATGTTGGTCCCCGCTAGAACCCTAATCGTCCCTGTTGGAACCCTAATCGTATATTTTTGGGTTAGGTTTTGTGTGGAATGGTATTAATTTTGCCTTTTGTTTTCTGTGTGGTCGTGTTCATTGGTTTGTTGTGGATTGGTATGTAATTGGAATGTGTAATGGTAGTTGTCAAGATAGTTTGCAGTGGTAATTGATCTTGGCAGCGTTATACTTGTATGTTTTTGCTGTTTTTGTGAGATTTTTATGCATTGGTAGTGATCTACCCATTCGTTTTGTTGGCTGCCGACATGTGATGTTTGGTGTGGAATGGTAGTGTTCATTTGATATGTGTGTAATGATAGTGTTCTTTTTCATGCAACGGTATTTGTTAGATTTTTATGCATTGGTATTGGTTCATCCCTTTTACAATGGTATTGAATAATGTGAGATTTGTATGCATTGGTAGTGATCTACCAATTCGTTTGTTATTTGCCGACATGTGATGTTTTGGTGTGGAATGGTAGTGTTCATTTAAATTTGAGAAATTGTAGTGTTCCTTTTTTATGCAATGGTATTGGTTAGCTTTTTATGCATTGGTATTCGTTTACAATAGTAATGTATTTTTTGTTTCCATTTTTCGATTTTAGGTATGGCAAGAACCAAGAACCCCAATCGTGGAGGTTCAAAAAGCAAGAAGCATGTGAACTATATCAGTCGTCAGTTGCAAGTTGGAGGTGGTCAAACCTCTCACGTCGCTCGAGCTATTGCGAAGGAGGTTTAGAGCAAATCTAAATCAATTAGCAAGAAATGTAGCCCCGCAGGGATAATATCAATTGTCGAGGATGGGATATCGGAAGCAAGGACAATAATATCAATTGTCGAGCCTGTTTTGAACCCTTCTTTGTTGCATCGTGCTCTAAAGTATAACACTTTTGGTTCTTGAAGATATTTAGACTTAAAAGTTTGTTCTCCAATACGTCTAATTGCAAACCCCCTCCGGTGCACGAAGTCCTTGTTGAACTTGACAAATGCTTCCGTATTGTCAAATCGCAAATGCTCCCATGTCAATTTGTCGTCTGGTACAACTTTATACACTTGATCTGCAAATTGTATAACAATAATGAATCACTACTATTGCAATAGTTGATACTATCACCAGCAAATCACTACCATTCACCACTTCAAAAAAAAAAAAAAAATTGCTCACAACACAACAATTGCGGCAAAATAATACAAAACCAATAAAATCCATTAACGCACATCACATACATCAATACCAATCCAACGCGCCACCACAATACGTTCACCAATAAGGTAACATCAAAACCATTTCATTAATGCTACTCGTAATACCAATACCAATCCTACGAATACCAATACAATCATTATACCTGTGCATTTGTACCAATGCACTCAGTACATTGTACATACATATGACCACTACCAATGCAGATCTATTAAAGTAAGTAATAATACCTATCCAGTCCAATGAATACCAATACTAATGAGGATCGTAATACCAATACCAATACCAATCCAATGAATACCAAAATAGTCACTACCATTGCAATCGAACAACAACGTCAGTAACAATATGAATCCAAGCCACACCAACAACATGAACACACCTTCGGCAAAATTCTCCCCTGCGAGGCCTTCGATCACGTTCTGTTCCCCAACAATATCTGTCTCTTCGCAAGGGGTTGCGAACTCAAAGTGGTGTTAAATATTGATGTTTACGAGAAAGCACAATCATCTTACCACCATCGACTTGCTTGGCTGTGTCCTCCTCATCTCCACCCGATACAGGAGTTTCTCTGAACACCTCAATTGTTAGCCTTCTATCCTCTACCACGTCCGGCGACGGTGCAATGTCGACGATGGCCATTTCTCCCCTTGAGCGGCGACTTTTACACTGTCGAATCCTTTCCTACGTTCTATCTTGGTCTAACAAAAACCTACGGTGATTAAACCTTCTGATAATTAGTTTCCATAATTATAATTAAAATGGTAGTTTGAATTAAAATGGAAGCAAATTACCCTTCTTATTCCTAGTCACCACGGTGGTTACTAAGACTAGGTAATCACCGTAACCCCTCCCCGTGTTCTTCCTAGATCCAGGTGCATGTTGGGCGTAATTTGAGTGGTTGGGGCCAGGAGTGAGAAATTGAGTTTTTTTGCGTGACCTAGTTAATTGTAGGGTAATGTCTATTTTTTATCCAAATCTTTTTCAGATTTTTTTTATATTATCCAAACCTATTAAAATGCTATTAATCAGTCACAGGTGCTAGAAAGATGCTGGCAAAGATTTCCTTACGTGCACTAACGAGTTTAGTCACAGGTAAACGATGCGAGTTTGAGCCAAGCCCGCTTATTAGTTATCATTGATAGTGGATCAACCAAACAACTTCATCAATGATCAAGTCACGAAAAATCTCGCACTCACGAGTCACCCCATCGACCCTTTTTATAGTAAAGGTAGCCAACTTTGGGCATATAAGGATTCCATTTTGAAGCTCAAGGCCTTTCTCGCTAGTCGAGCCAACTCATCATCCCTTTGCAATCGATGTTGCAGAAATCGATGTAGTATTGGGAAAATAGTGGTTAGCCATGTTAGGCAACATACTATGTAATTGGCATAATTTCACCATGGAGTTTGACTAGGAGGGACAACAGTGCCAACTAAGGATGTGACACAAGGTACCATTCGAGCCTTGTGTGTGCCATCTCCGCTAGATGCTCCTCTAAGGCAAGTACCATAAGAATTTCAAGACGTCCTTCGAGTTTGGTGATCCTTTTGATGATCCAAATACCTTACCCCTATCCATTTCCATCAGATTATATTGAAGGAAGGGACAGATGCAGTTAGCGTCCGATCTTACCAGTACACCCACTGTCGAAAGCGACAGGGAATTGAAAAGAAAGTCAACACAATGCTTCGGGAGAATCTCATCCAGCCTAGCACCATCCCGTTTTCATCGTCTGTTCTTCTCATGAAAAAAAGGACGACTTGTCTTGAGATAGATTATATAAATGCACAATTCATTTGTTGTAAAAGATTTTTCAATTAACTTACATGTTTGTTAAAATCGATATAAACTGATTATACTCCAATAAGATCATACCAATTGTTAAACCAACATAATGGTTTAAAGTTTAAACGAGTTTGACAATCCCTCCCAAATGGAAAACAAAAATAAGAGGAAAAGAGCAGAAAAATGAAACGACGTCATTCGGCACGGGTATTCAGAAACTTCGGGAGCGGGAAAGTTGAACCGGCCCAGGGCACCGTCCTTGCAGAGCTAGTCCCCCGACCCGAACAGCGTCGCCTTCTCGTAGCTGGCCGCCGATTCACTTTCTGCTTCGCCGACCAGTTGGTTGAGGGTTTGATGCACTTTCACATTCCTTTTTCTTTGGAGATAATCGAAGTGCGCTCAGCCATTTGTCATTCCTCCATCAAAATGACCATTTCCAAGAGGATAGGATTTGGCGGGGTTCATTCGTGAAGTATTTGGTGCCTGGTTCCAACACTGTTACCACTCTTTCTCTCCGCGGTGCAAGCTCACACTCAGGTAGATCATTCAATCCATTACTCTTTCATTATCCTCAATCAACTCTCCGCTTCAGTTTCTCTCAGTCGTTGCTGTGAGTTCGTGAGAAAAAACTGTAAGGTTAGGTTTTGCATCTCGAGATAGCAATGTTAACCAAATCCGGCAATCTACACTGATGCGTACGTATTGTGGCTTTAGGTCTAGAAAGAAAGAAAGAGAATAGAGTTAGGGGTTAGGGATTTCACGAGGTAGGTGCACGTCTAGGGCCATTCAGGTGCGTGATTCGGAGGATAGTTCGATGACTTAACATCAGAAGCTGCGATAATGCGAGTCAGTGACTGGGTGGTGAGAGAGGGAGGTGGCTTTCAAACTGATCAGTTCTCCAGCTACTTGATATATGTATAGGCATTGCCTTTGGGCGCATGGCGCAACAGTCATTTGCTTGAAATCCTAGTCTAGTGACTGACTGGAAGTTTGATCCAGAATGGTTGTGAGCGGCACATCGTTTATGGCCTTATTGGAGACATGATAATAATCTGTAGGGTTCTTCGCCACAGGTGTCTCTAGAAGAGCTAATTCAAAACAGTTTACTGCATTTCTCTTTAACTATTTGCTGTAAAAACCAGTTTGACTATGCACTGATAGTAGATGAAAAGTCCAAACATATGAGATACAATTGACAAAGCGAATTTGGTGGCGGTGTTAGCTTGAAAGTGAAACACCATGTACATTTACAAAGTGAATTTTGACGGTGGTGTTAGTTTAAAAGCGAAACACCTTGTTGGTGCCTTGGAAGGATGCTTGGATTATGGATAGATAGTTGTTGAGTATATTTGAAAATTTATACAAGGCTGAGTTAATGCTAGATGATTCTAAGTCAAGATAGCCTGGGGTAGTGTCAGAAATTTTGCTCATCCAAACGCTTAAAAGTTTCACAACTTCATGTATGTGAAATTTGGAAGGACATTTGAACTAGTTGAATCCTAATGTGTTGACTATGTTCCAATACTTACGCAAAATTTGTGTCAAAATTATCGGTTGAAAAATAACTTCCATGAAAATGCGTTCTTTATCTACGAATTAGCTGTGAATCCTGCAGTAGTCCTAAACTACTAACAAAAAAAGAAACAACCCGACTGACTTTGCGGGAAACAGAAAACAATAGCAATAATGGACTTTACTGTTTGCTTTATTTCGAATCTGATGTTTACCTGCTGCTGGGTCTTCTCCTCGCATAAAAACCAAGATTGTCAATAAAGGTGATAATGAGAGCAAGCATTCCCTATTTGGTGTATCTTGCACAAGATTTCAGATCGAGAGAAGCGATAAGGCAAAGTGTCTAAGTCAAAGCCTTCACGAGTGCAAGTGCTCCATCTGGCTTAAGTATATTGTGAGCCACGTCCTGCATCAAATTTCCATTCATTTGCACGGTGTACAGGTAATGTTTTGAGTGCCCAAGAAGGCAAGGTTGAGAGCTTAAGGCTGTTATTCTACTTTATCAATGCATTTGGTGCTTCTTTTTATGCAATGATGTTAGCAAGATGTGAAGACGTTTCAAACCTGAAGCAACGCCTGATGTTTTCTTGTTATGGTTGCAGTGCAGCAGCAGCTTGAGTTCGCGAAAAATGCTCTCATGAGGATCCGAGAAGAATGCAACAGCGTGATTCCAGTGTTAGTTTTCTAATCTTGCCTATTACTTACAGATGACTTGATGCTTATCAGACCGGTCCACAGCTTTCAATATTTAACGTGTTTTGCCAGTACTTGTAGTCACTGACAAAATCCAGATATTAGGCATTGCAGTATGTTCACTTATCTCGACTTAGTTGGTGATACCAAATGTTTGAGCAGCAATAGGTCGGTTTGAGTCAACATGAGTTCTTAGGTTAGTGTCAGGCATTCCTCACCTTTGATCTCTAGTATGATAATTTAGTTACTCGAGACATAATGGCGTTTAGACCTGGATGGATGCCTTATTCTGGTAGTCTGGGATAAAGAATCCTAAGAAAGGAATTTAAGAAAGGAACATGCGAGTCCATGAAAGCAAATGTTTCAAAATTGACAATTCATAGATAGCGTAGTGCAGAGTGGACCTTTCTGTAATCTCTCCTGTTTTGTCCTCAGAAATTCTATGGTGGTGACTAGCCTGTTTCACCTTTGACGCAGAACGATCGTTTCTGTACCGAGATTAGAGATTAGAAGGGGACTAGAAGAGGATTGATAGAAACTGGGAGAGATTAGGGTCTTGTGATTAAGATAAATCTCTTGAGGATCAAGCTAGATTATATGAGGTTTTTTCTGCATTGCTTATCTAGTCATTGCCCGTTAAATCTCACCATCCCAAGTTAGCCATTTGTTATAGCTGAAAACACAACCTCTGCTCTGTTTTACGCACAAGGGACATGGATGGCTTATTTAATTTGTTTTACATTTTGTTGTATAGAGATAGTGATGAACGTGTTTTTAACTTCCATCATGATCACAAGCAAGTGGACAATTGGTGATGCATTTTAAAAAGAATACTTTCATTTGGTAATGAAAAATTTTCAAATTCCCTTGCCAGTATATGGACCAGTAAAAGCCACCAGAGTGTTGTTTAACAGTATATATCTCTTAGTGATTGGGACTGATCATTTGTGATGGAACGACTTTATTTTATGGTGCTTTTGGTATGCAAAAGGGTGGGTTCTGGGTAGGCCTCTACTTGCCTTAGTGGATTGTTGCTGGTCGACAAGCTCATTGATTGGGATCTCCATATCTGAAGTTTGGCGCCTGCATTGAACTCCAGGAAAATGTGTCTAAAACACTATAAATAATACTGCAGATCAGATGCAACTAGTCTAGTGAGATTAATGACAAAATGTTTAATAACAAATTCGTAAAATAAGTCGTGACAATATCATATTAGCTAGCTCGGAAACGACCGGCCAGTATGGTTTGGTTTCAGAAATAGTGAAATGAAAATGGCACAGTATAAATATGCATATTTGATATTATCATTTACCATTTTTTCCCCTAGTTAGCTATTGCTTCTTGCAAGGATTGAAATACCGTATCGGAGGCCGTGCTGTAAAAATCAGCAGGGTTCAACCTTTTTTTCTGATTGAACCGCCGGTACGATACGATTTTTCAATCCTTGTAATTTTTTTCTCGCGTATTTTGACCACTCTCTCACTATGAGAGAGAAGAATAGCCCAGGCTTGATGTATATTATTAAATTTAACCACTTGGGTTATTTTATTGTATTAGGCCTCAAGTGACTGCAATATTTGAGGCAGTAGGATTTTTCCTGTCCACATTTGATGGTTGGCAAACAGATTGTCTGTTCCCCCTCGTTATTATTTGTCCATTTCCTTCTGCAACGTGGGGGGTCATGAGCACTTCTTTGAATCCTTGTTG